CATGGTGATTGTTTTTCCAGCATCAGTACAAGAAATGCAGTGACATTATACTTTCTGTCTGTCTGTCTGTCTGTCTGTCTGTCTGTCTGTCTGTCTGTCTGTCTGTCTGTCTGTCTGTCTGTCTGTCTATCTGTCTATCTATCTATCTATCTATCTATCTATCTATCTATCTATCTATCTATCTATCTATCTATCTATCTATCTATCTATCTCATGAAAAATAGTATGCACTCTCTGATGCACACATTTTCACAAATAATTCATTCCATCTCTGTATTGGTCCAGAATATTTACACTGGAAATCAAATTCTGTTGTTGTTTGTGGCGCAGGCATGAATAAAAACATGAGGGTGATTTTCCAAGGCAGAATAATATGCCATTGGCGCCTTTTCCTCTGGAGTTCCATTGCCCTAAAATGAGGCCGGTCAGACGAGGAGTGATGGCGTTCCATGATGGTATACGATCGCTACCTACCCGCACGCTTCCTTCACCTTCTCCAGCGCTCCCTCTCTCATTCTGCTGTATCCCTCCTGCCTCATTTTAGCCTCACCCCGGTGTCCAAATACTAAAACCAGCCATTTTGGATCCGCATCACTGTCATTCCATTATGAGGGGAGCGTGGAAGCGTGCACGCACATGTGCAAAGATCACAAATGTGTATGGAGTAATGCACACATGGTCACACACTGACATACTTTCACAATGCTAAAAATCTCCCGCAAAAAAATATCTTACATTGTGAGAGATATTGTAGTTACCATATGCTGTCAGGTATTCAGCATTATAATAGTTTTAAATGTCAGTGTACAACACAACTGGAATGGAACGTGGTATACTGTGACTCCACAGATCTATTTCTGTAGTGGCCTAATTGGACTGATACTTCACATAAAGGAAATAACATGGGTGCACTATAAATATATCTCTTGACTAGACTACTGGCACCATGGCTGTAATAAATACATAATTTAACCAGTGTTCACTATCCAAATTATTTGTTGCATTCTCCCTGTGCATCGCATATAACTGGTCCTGTTGTCCTTGAAACGTGTCAGAATGTCTTTTTATTAGTCTGTAAGCCATCACCATGTCTCACTGAACATTCAACATTCCTCCATTCCTGCACTTTGGCCATTATAGTGATTGTAATTCTTATTCTGTCTCTGAATAGGCAGTGCATCTGAGGCAGACTGTTCATTTATCCAAGCTGAAGGTTTCCATTGAATGTAACAACAGGCCTACGCAAAAGTAATGTTCGTAGCGGGAACTTGATCCTTGGATGATGGCTGTGTTAAGATGGCAGATAGGGAAAGAAATCCTCCCCAGCGGTGCCTTCATCTTTGATATGCAGGCCCTCCTCGCATTTGGCTCCCTCTATGAATATTTCACACGTTTGTTTATATATATTTACACACACATTTTTATTAGAGGGAATTATGTCTTGGAAATGTCAAGGTTAATTTCCTGGTAAGGAAAGAGAGTGAGACAAGGGGGCAAGGCCTGCAACGAGCAAAGGAATGTGAAGGATTTGAATGTGTGTGTGTGTGTGTGTGTGTGTGTGTGTGTGTGTGTGTGTGTGTGTGTGTGTGTGTGTGTGTGTGTGTGTGTGTGTGTGTGTGTGTGTGTGTGTGTGTGTGTGTGTGTGTGTGAGTGAGAGTCGCTTGGTGGGTGCATGTCTGTGTTAAACAACCACAGAAGAGAGGACAGTAGCTCATGTAGGAGGGATAGAAATACCTTTATTATTCACACATCTGTGTCATAGCAAGCAGTTTAGGAGGAGCAAGGGAGAAAAGAGTGGGGGATAGACAGGGATCAAGAGAGGAAAAGAATATGTATTACCAGTGTATACAGTAAAGATATTAATTTCAACTCAGAGAAGATACCTGCTAGAAACAGATGAGAAACAGGGTGGGCAAAAATATTTATTCACCTAAGGTAATATTTTTCTGGACCTCATGTTAAAACAATGTAATATAAATATAGTTTCTCTAACGAGCTAATTCCAGTTAAGCACATGATTAATGTCAAATGTATCACCCAGAAAGAATTATGCAGTAATTTCAACGAAATCTTGAATCAACTAAACTGTATTGACATGAATGCAGCTGTCACAATAACATCCTCGCCAGACAAGTTTTACCACACAGTGATGACAGTGAAAGTTTAGACACCTCAGAACAGAAAGACGAGCAAAGGGTGAGTTGGATAAAACAGTTGGTATTCAGTCAAAAACAAAATATCACTGTACCTTGACGTGCACAAACAAACAATAAAGTGCACGTCGCTGTTTCATTCTGTGCTCCTGCCTTCTCTCTTCCTTCCATCCAATTTACCCTCTTTCTTCCTGTTTGGTGAGACATTTTCCCCTCTGCTACAAAGCCAACGTCATGTTCAGAGCTTTTCTACATAAGTGTTTCATGTCACTCCTTTTCCCCTAAAACACACTTGCCTATTCCGTGTGTTCTTGGTCTTATATTTGGGTTTGAGAGTGGATAGGTAACATTAAAGAGCTATCACTTTCTCTCTCTGTCATTCCCCTCCTTCATACACCATTTGATCTGAAGCTAGATATGGCTTTTAGATGTGGATGCGGACACACACACATACACACTCACAGAATACGTGCATGCAAACACATGCACTAGCGCAAACAATTTGCACACGCACTGTCTGAGTGACAGACAAACAGTTTGAGGGAACACACACTCAAACATGTGCAAAGACACACCTTTATCTCCCAAGGCTTTTATTTTGTGTATTTCCTCCTAGCCAAACATCAAAAGGCGAATACCATCTCACATCACACAGACAAACAACAATATTACAATCCTCGGTACTCGACAATGCCATTTTCAAATGCCCCACCCTTGACAACTTGTGGAATGGGAAGGAAAGGAGGATTCAAACAAACAGACATGAATACACAACAAATACCACCTACAGCCAATAAAATATGCATGGCAGAGGACGACTACCTTTAAACTGACTACTGTCAGAATTAATAACATGCACAAAAAAACACAATAACAAGTGACTGTCTTCCACAGGTGTTTGTCTGTGTCTTCATATTCTATTCTATCCATGTTCTATTTTTGCACTTACGTGTGCGTGCATGTTTGTCCTCTCAGATATAACACTGCTCAATAATGTGATGTCAAAATGCATGAGAAGCTCAAGATTATTTGAGTTGCAAGAAAAGACAAAAATGGCAAGAAATGTATTTAGTTTTTTTTCCATATTTTTCCCACTTCTTTGTTTTATTCAGATTTTCATGACAACCATGCATAATATGTTAAAATATAACAACTTCATATGATATAAATCAGTTCAACGGAATAGAATTATGGCCACTCCACCTCTCCAAATGTTCAAGTACAAAATGTTCTAAGAGTCAAAATTAATGCACTCGGATTTAAAGAATGTGCCCGTTCGAAAAACCTTGATATGTTAGATCCCAATAACTCATCTTTTCTTTTACTCCTGCCTTTGTTCACTCTCTTTCTGATCTGTAATTGAAAAAGCATTCCATTTTTATTTTTCACTGCTATCCAAAGGCTAAATCCAAAACACCAGCCAAGAGGTTAGCCTGGTCACCTGGCACCCACAGGCACTCTCTCTCCCTCTCTCTCTCTCTATTTCACACACACACACACACACACGCACACACATACACACACCTGGCTGCTGTGCTTCAATAAACTGTAAATTCCTCCTCTGCGCCCACCGTACCCAAGCTAACCCTTTAAAAGTCACCCGCCTCCACCTTGTAATGCATGAACACACACACACACACACGCAGACACACACATACTTACCCACAGTCACACACAACAGACAAGCCCAAACACACAAAAAAACAATGTGGCTTAGTGGATGGTATCAAATTTAGTGGCCACAGGGATCTGGCTGGGGTCGTAAATCTATATCTAACATGTGAGAAAATCTCTACATGAATATCAGGAGACACAGGGAGAGAGAGACGGAGAGACAGACAGCAGGATACAGAGAGAGAGACAAAGGAAAAGGAGGCAAAGTAAGAGTCTTGTAGAGCCACAGACAAACAGCATCAGTAGGAGACAGGAAGCTGAGCAAGGTATAGAAAGAAATAAACAAACAAATGCAAGACGGGAGAAAAACTGAGTGGGAGAGTGGGCGACAAAGCACAGCGGAGGAGAGGAGGAATAAGTAAGAGAGATAAAGATAAACCGGCAGAGGGAGAAATAGAAAGATAGACGGAGCAAGAGAGTCACAGACGGAGAGTCTGACAGTGAGAGATATTTGGGCGGAGAGACCAACAGAGGGAGAGAAAGAGGGCTGAGAGAGAGAGCCAGAGACAGACAGACAGACAGACAGACAGACAGAGCGAGAGAGATACATGACCCCTCTCTCTCTAACAATGGCTCTTCATGTGGTGCCCAGCTTAGCAGGCGAGCCGCTGGAATCAGGAATGTGGAATGTGGGATTTCAGGCTTGGAAGTGATAGCTACTGTCTGTGTGTAATATTTAGGGCCGACACAGGGAGCCTCTGGCACGCCATGAAACACATGGACGGCACTGCTTTTTCTGCTGCAAGTCGGTTTATATCTCCTGCATGCTTGTGTGTGTGTTTATGTGTGTACGTATGTACAAAGGCGTGGAAACATTTGCACACAGAGCTAGATGTATGTACAATATTGTGGGTAATTTATGTGTTTAAGAAAAACATTATTGTATTTTTCTTTTCACTGCATTGTCTCTACTGTCACATTATTTCTGTCAATTTAATAATAGTTTGTATGACATGTGGTGGAAAAGTAGCAATACCACAATGTAAAAATAAAGTGAATTAAAATCCTGCATTCTATTTGTACACTTAAAGTAAAAAGTAAAAAATTACTAAAAATATCAAAAGTACAAGTATTAATTATGCAGAAGTGCCCCTTTTTAGCGTGTTATATTATTATATACTATTCTAAATGTATTGTAAACATTATTGATGCATTATTTAAAAAAACATTTGAGATAAGGCTGATTTTAATTTTATTTGTTGATTACATGTTTTGTATGAAAATATGTATCTGCAAAGTTTCATAGCTGTATGAAATATATGTAGTGGAGTTAAAAGTAAAATTTTTAGAAGTAGTTGTAAGTGGCATAAAAACTAAAAGTACAGTATTTAAGTAAATGTACTCCAACACTGTTCTGGGTTTTATAAACATATTTAAAGGCTCTAAGGTCCAAACTCAGTTCCACAAATAAAAGGTTGAGCAAACCTTCATGTGAGTCTAATCTTCACAAGTTCCCTGTGTAAATAAAAAGTTGCAAGTACACACACTTACTTTATATTGTCACTCTTTGTCTCTCACTCTCTGGCCCTCTCTCTCTCTCTCTCTCTCTCAAACACACACATTGGTGCTAACACACACACTGCTGCTAACACAGGAGACAGTTGTTGCTGGCCGCCCCAATGCCTGTCATGGCTGTTAGGCCAAATCCCATGAATTATGGCTCTTCCAGATGTAAGAGATTTCTAAGCTGCCTCCAACGGCCTGCGGTCTGTGGTGAGAGAGAGAGGGAGAGAGAGAGAGACAGGAAAACAGAAAGAAAGGGAGAGAGGGAGAGATTTGGGTTTATGCAGTGTCATCCAAAAATCCATCTTCCTTTCTCTATCCCTCATCTTTATTATCGTTCTGTATTCGATCAGTAGAAAAACTGTCATTACTTCCAATTACCTGACAAAAATATTATTTTACTCATCACACATTTGGAATTTCATATGAATATGTGACTTACATCTGCGCGAAGGAGTGACTACCTAGCACGCTGAGATTTTTTAAAAGACGGCTGGAAATTGGATATTTTTGGAGGAATATATTTTTTCCAGCTGAACGGCGGCATTTGGGTGAAACAAAATCACGACACATTCTACATTTCCCCGTTTTATTTATTACCTGTTGGTGATTTTAAGAGTAGTGTATGTGCAGTTGTATCATATATAATGTATCAATGCAACAGCGGCACTAGTATTTACATATTCAACATCAATCATTACATTGATTATCAGAAAATATTTTATAGCCATTGAACATTTCTTAAAAACTACCAGTTGCTGCAGGATTATTGACACATTGATCTCTTTGTCTGACCAGTGCATTAGCTTAATTTACCCGTACGCACGTCAACACTTAAAATTCAACCCCCATCGTTCTCTTACTTCGTTTGGTCTGCTCTCACTCTTTCTCTCATTAGTACTTCGTAACCAGACAGTTTATTTGAAATTATGAAAGCATTACACTCTCTGATGTAGCAGTTTAAAAATCAATAGCTGAAACCCTAGCCGCCTCACTTAAGCCCTCTCCTATGGCAAAGGGGATGTCTCTTTCTCCCTCTCTCTTAAATGGTAATTTCATTTGCAGTCACTAAGACCTCACCGATAATTACCAATGCCCTGAGAGAGAAAGGCGAGTGAAAGAGAGAGGGGAGAGATGGGAGACAGGAGAGGGTAAGAGGAGAGATGGATTAAGAAAGGAGAGTGAATGCCAGTCATTAGAAAAGCCTTCCTCTCTCCCTCCTTTGATCAGAGTTAAGAACACATTGCCTTCGCTCTATCGCTCCCTGACACCAACCTCTGAAAAGAAAAGATGGAGCACAGGAGGGGAAAAAAAAAAAAGGTGAGTGAGGAATAGACCGACAAAAAAATGATCCCTGAAGTCTTAAATAGCAGGCCTTAATTTTGACATTGAACCCTCTCTGTTCTTGGGTTACACCGGGGCCGTCCATTTTCAGAGAGCTCCACCATCCATTTCCCCCCCTCGTCTTCATCTCTCAAATGAACTAATCAGAAAGAGGAATATGAAGTGTCCTGCAGGATCCATTTCTCTAGAAGCATATGGCAATGATTGATGGGGGACAACTTTGACTTTCCCAGGTCATCCTCCTTGCACACATCTGGGAGCATGCAATAATTCTCTTAATTTTAGACCCTGTCTCTTCCTTCTGCTCCTTCTTTTTCTTTCCTCTTTTTTTCAAAGAACTTCAGTTTCACTTTGGTTAAAAAAAAAAAAAAAAAAAAGAGCCTTCTCTCAGCCTATCCCTCCTCTTTCTCTCTCACTCTCTCAAGGCTAACACAACCAGTCATTTTGGCTGAAATAAAGGTACCGTAGTGGTTGCCAGATGTTTATAAGGACTGTTGGGGCAATCCCCTTGTTTTTTTATGGCTCCCATGATTTTTCTTTCTTGCTTAAAAAAGCCTTAAGAACCACTTATGTCATACGGCTATGGTAACTGGATTTACCATATGTGTAATGCTAGTTGATATTTCATCATGACAAATACTGTAAAAGAGCCACAAGGAATATGAGTTACCTGTGTTTATTGCTTTTGAATGGATTTCAGTCCGACGGCAGCTTCTTTTAAAAAAGCCGCACATCCTGAGATTTATGCACCTCCAGTTCAGACTAAGGAGAAGAAAAAAAAAAAGATATTTCTGCTTTGTTTCAATTTTGTTTGGTTGCTACATTAATTCAAAGTTAAATGAAATATAATGAAACTAAGACGTTAAAAAAGGAAATGATCTGAATTATCATTCAAAGCCATTTAAAATTCCAACAAGCTTTAACTTTTCATTGTGTTATGAGAGAGAGCGGAGAGAGAGACAGCCATCTCAAACCTCCCTGACAGCAACTGGGCCTTGTTAGCTGTGCATTGAAATCATCTTTGACTCCGGGTTTACAATAACAGAGAGGAACTTCGACCACTAAATGCTTTCGGGAAACCCACCCGTCCTCCTTCTGCCATGTGATGATCCCACCTCTGAAATATTCAGCGCCATTAACATTCCGATGGGTATCATCCCCTTTCAGACACAATTCGCTCTGCTCTTCAGACCTGTGGGCCAAGGCAGGGAGAGGCCCGGAGCAGATGCTATCTGTTCTCATTCTTCACAAGATTTCTCCTCCTCAAAACGCACACTTATGACTGTTATATTTGGTGCAGAGGAAATGATACACTGACTAGTGACAGGATCTTTATATATATATATTTTTTTTAAACTAAGAATAAATCAATATAAAGATTTAATATCAGACTATTTGTTATATAATATGCATTTATTTAAATGTAGGTGCTGGAATATTTGAATTAGGTTACATCAATAACCTAATCAAAGAGATTTGAATGTATGTATTTTCATTGTGTTTTTTACTTCAGCTTGTTTCAGCTTACTTTAACTTTGCTGTTCAGATAGAGTTCTGTTATCTTTAAATACTAAACCATTAAAAACTTCCATCAGTCTTATTGGCCAATAAAGCTGGAATGTGTTTGATCTTAATTGCTAATGATGTGACTATGTGGGTAAATTGTTTTGCCAATCAGATCTGATGTTTTCTCCTATACTTACAGCAGCTTTTATGTTTTGTCTCTGTGTATGTGTGTGTGCGTGCCTGCGTGGGTGCGTGCGCTGCCTCTAATCATGTGTGATCATGTGAGAGACAGAGCACTACACTTTGAGCACAATTAGCCAGGCATTTAGGCATCTTAATTGGTGACATTCGATCTCAGGCTCTCGCTGATGAACCACTTAGCAGCAGACTTATGGATTAGCACCCGGCGCAGCGCTCTCTTCTCAGATGTAACTAACAGGTCAGGAATTAGTGCTCTTAACACTGCCTTACAAATGAAGACAGCTGTATTGACTAGCACGGAAAACTACTTTCTCTTCCAGTTCGCTTTTGCTAGCCTCAGTCTCCTCTTGGAGTCTTGCTCCTGTCCTCTCTTCTTATCATTTCACGTCATGTGTTTTCTCTTCTTATCAACTGAAGCAAGCTTATGTTTAATTTTTGCTCTCTCCTGGACGATTTCAATCGCCGTGTTGGCAGCGGGCCACTCAGATTTGGCCGTGACAATATTTGGCGTTTTGTTGTCATGGCACTGAAGCTGTCTCAGTTGTCTGGGCAACATGCGCCGGGGCTCATGGGAGCCTCATAAATGTCATGTATCGACGGAACTGCTGGGGAGAGCAGGAAGTCCTTGCCAAAAAGAAGATAGATAGAGCGCCACCGGTGTTGGGGATGCCATGTTGCATTAAATCATGTTTTGCGCACGCTAATGCAGACATACACATGCACACTTGTACAGATGTGCATGCAACCATGCATACAAATACACTGACACTTGCCAACATTTATGCTTGTAAACAGGTAGGTATGCATGCAGTGATCACCAACAAAAAGCACACAGATATAACAGACGTGTGAACAAACTGTTCCTCTTCCACCCTTTATTCTTGGCCTCCCTCTTTTAAAATAACCCCTGTTCGTGGAGCCGATTCAGCAGGCCCCACCCTTCCCTCTGTAGGTGCGTCACATTTTTGCCACACGTTCCCCTCCCCAGGTCACTGTCATGTGCCTGGACCTACTGAGCACAGAGGCTTTAAACAGGAGAGACAGCACTTGTCCGTTAGATTAGCATGTCTCCGACGTCACATGCCTTTGCCTGCACACGTCACCACTTGTCTGGAGGTGCCTGTCGAGGTTCATTAGAAAATGCCAAGATTTAAGAAACAGAGAAATTTTGTCAAAAGGTAGACAAAAATTGTTGCATGTAATGTGTTTTCACTGAATGTGGGAACATATATTTGATTTGATGTTGTATGTCATGTAAATGCAGGTACGAACATTTTTTTTTTTTTATCAATAGAAATGCCTTTTGAATTTTCTCCTCAGATCAGAAATAAATATTCCTGACCCCACATCATTATTATTCAACACAAAACACATATTCTAACCAACAAAGCAACTCCAGGCCGAGGCGAGGGCCAGCCGGCATTTCAAACGCCCCTGAGATTCCAGATATTCTAATACCGTGGGACCTCCTCTCATATTTATTGTGGGAATCAGAATTTATGATGAGTAAATTGGGCTTCTTCATCTGTGTGCCGGGGGGGTTGCAACATGCGGCCGAGATGGCTTGACTTATTGATTACAGGGAGCAGTATGCCCCATTTCAAAGGGAAGGAGAGCCCCCGCCACGCAACTTCTGAGAATTAATTTGCCCGGCATGGGCCTTCATGAGAAACACATGTCTGCACACACACACAGGAACGCAAGCATAGACACAAACAGGCACACAAAAACCAAAGCCTCCAGGTAAGAGAATCACACTCAAAAAAAAGGGGGGAAAAAAACAGCTACACATGCATGCATTCCCCTCCAGCCCCCACCACACATATACCCACACATATACCCACACATATACATGAGACCAATTTTTGCAGTGCTTCAGGTGACAAGACAAGGCCATTCTGTTGTAACCAAAGATTGTGATCATAGTTGCTGGCACGGGCATTAACACACACACTCAGGCATCTCAAACATTCTCCCACTGTCTTCCAAAAAAATAAAACCTAGAAAGTGCACATCTTTAGTTTGTTAGGTTCATACTTCATTTTTAGCTTATGCATGGTATTCACCTTAAAAACTACACGAATGATGTCTGCCCTTTAAAATATGAAATAAAATATTGAGCTATTTTTCTGGGAAATGACAAAGCAGGGTAAAAGAACTGTGAATAAAAAGTATAAAAAAATTTGGGGGGGCCTTTCAGCCTTTCACATAAAGTAACATTCAGTGACACTGTAACTGTACTGGAAGCAAATATGACTCCGACACGGTCCCATCCAAAGCGTTTCTCCAGATCGAGCCACAGCTGAACTATCAGTGGTTCATCCCTGGCATTGTCCAGTGGATCACCCTCTGCACTCAGACACCAGCTCCTATTTCACCAGCAGCACCCGCGCTAATTTATCATCATGGTCATGACAGACAACACATCTGTGTGTGAATGGATTGAGTGAGGAAAGAGGGAAGTGAAGGAGGGACAACAGTGAGAGCAGGGGGGGGGGCAGGAGGAAATATGGTAGCAAGGAGGATTCGGATCGCACAATCGGCGAGGCTTTTTAAGGGTCATATTTTGTTTGAAGGGCCCTATCCTACCCTTCTCTCGACCTCTCTCTATCCCTCCTGCCTCCTCCCTCATAACACACTGTCAGCTAACCCCCCTCGGCAACTGGACAGCTCATTGTCTTGGGCTATCTTATATTACAGCCCATATACTGCAGGTGTGATATGGAAAAGCATTAAAGAGCTTAAGGAGTGAATTGAGAATGTAGACCTGCAGAGGTTTACGTTGCCATATAAAACTGTAGCTTCGTGGCCTACGAAAGGGCATGTCCGTGACGACCAGCTTCTTGAGGCTCGTCCTGTATGAAACATTCTCTTTTAAAATATTTATAATTTATTTATGATATAATATTGTTTGACTGACGCTGCTGTGTTTGTCAGTGTGGCCGAGCTGAGCAGACGTTCTAGTGATGAGCTTGATGGGCAGATAGGTGGGAATACGGATGGACAACAGATGGGGAGACACACAGTTACACACGTGTGTCTTGTGTTCACATCTGCGTGCTCATATTCATACAGCATTTGTGTGTGGTTGGGCGTACATGCATGCATACATGACGAGACAGCAGGTGCGCGCATACACGCGTTCTCATGTGTGTGTTCAAGCAAGCATATCTGTTTACTTTTGCTCTCCAAAACCCACTCACATTTGAATGCAGGAGACAGGACACATCTCCCTGCTCTGTGAGCCGCTAGACAGCTCAGTCAGAATATTTTAGTGTACACACACACACACACACACACACACACACACACAAGCCTCCCTGGGGTACCCCATATGCGGCGCCTGGGGAGTGCAAAATGGAACTTTTTAAAAGCCCAAAAACACTTCTCCCGAACAAACTAGTCTGCTTAATAATACCACACCCGTGTTTCTCTCTCCTCTCTCACGACAGGCCGTCATTATCTACAAGGAGGTGGGTGTTTCGGCTGCTTTTTAGTGAAAGGTCGTGGTTGTTGTTTTGGTGTCTGAAAGCCTTGCTACATGACGGATGGCAAATAGACTATAAACTATTTGGAATCTATGCATCAACAAATACATTTTGGTATGGAAATGAAAAAAGGAAGGAGTTTGGGAATTGTGGATTTAGCATGAAGGTGCTGCGACTTGCAAACTCCTGAGACATTCGATTGACTGAATTGCTTATTTTGGACCTGCAGTACATGCTGCAATATTTTACATTGAGAAATCAAGAAAATCTATGTTGTTGAGCTTTTTTTCTATATATATATATATATATATATATATATATATATATATATATATATACACCGCATGAGAGCAGCTAGTGTCTTTTTTCTTCAGTTGAGGTAAATGAACTTATGTACACACAGAGACACAAAAACAAACACATGCAGACTCCAGGCACACAACCAGTATGTATACAGACAAACACACATGCACCTTCTGCTCTTATGAAGATAAATATGGCAAGGGGTAGATTTTCCCCCGCACCCACTGAACGGGACACACACATTTATCTTTGCTGTATTTGGTG